TTTCCAGCTTGTTTTTGAGTTAGATATGGATAAACTTCTCTGGTTTTCTAAGATTCAATATTTTTTTTTTCTAATTCAGCAGTAAGAAAATCTTACAATATATCTAAATATGCTTATACAATTAATACAAATGTGCAATATATTGCTTGGAATATTACCTTACATTAGTATAGTGCCTTACAATTTATAATAGCCACTTTCACAAACATATACTAATTCTCAATTGTTCACAGTGATTCTTGAAACCACCAAGTTAAAGAATTTCTGTTATCTTCATTTATTGAATGGAGTGCTTAGGGGTAAAACAGACTCAAACCCAGGAGGCCTTCATATAAATAACATTTTTATCTGAACAATAAAGTATATCTCACAGTAAGACTTTAGTTTATATATATATATGAGATATTCCTCATACATAAAAAAAATTTAAATACAATATACAATGATCCACATCTAGTTTTAACATGTTATTTTTCTTCATCAATATTCTTTTCCAATGAACAAATAAATATAATCTTATAGATTTGGCTCTTACTCTGAGGTTAATGTTAATCATTTCAAGATTTTCATTTTATAGATACAGATAAATTGATAGACCGATGGTCAGATACATAGATATAGGTAGTCATAGGCATAGGCACAAAATAGAATAACCATATTTAATTAATTTACAGGTTATGACATTTTATACAAATTATGTGTTTTTCCACTTAGCATTATATTTTTTTAAATTTTTTTGTGAAAGTAAATGGAGCTCTTGATCATTCATTTTAATGGCTAAATATTTAATCTTAGAAACCACCCCATTTATTTTACAGGGCTTTTACTGAAAATGAGTGAAGTTATTTACAAATTTTCAACATTATGTTATGGCAAAGAACATTTTTACATTTCTTGTGCACACATGTCATACATTCTTAAATAGATAACAAGTAGAATTTCTGAATTATGATATAGTATGTGTACCTTCAACTTTATTAGGTATGAAGAGATTGCTTCTTAGACTTAAAATTTCACATTCTGATGTTTATAAGAATTTTATTAATATTTTATTTTGCATTGCCTTGATTACTAGGGAGGTTCATCAATTTTTCATAAGTATATTCATAATTCCAGTTTCTTATTCATATTTTTTGAGTACTTTTCTTTGAGTTGCTTACATTTATGGGTATTTTGATGATTTAATTTGAATATTATTTCTTTTTTAATTATATATTATAAATACTTTCTGTAATTTTCACTTTCTCAATACTTATGTTGATGGTCAAATACTTATGAAACATGGTCAAATTTATCAATATTATCCTTATTTTGGGGGGGAGTTATGTTTGTTTGTTTTGTTTTGCTTAGGAAATACTTTTTATTATTCTGATATCAAGAAAATGTTCTTCAAGAATTTAAAGCTGAATTTTCAAATGTGTGTCTTTAATCCAGCCAGAATCTGATATGACATAGCATTCAACTTTACCTCTGACTTATAGTCAATTGTTCTCACATAACTTATTTCATAATTTTTTCCCCCACAAAGTATTAATAAAGCTGCTGTCATATAAAGAATCTAATTCATACATGGATTTGTTTTGGGCCTTGCTATTACATTTTACTTTACCCAGTGCCATATTGTTTAAATTAATATAACTTTATAGTGACTGAAATGGTGGGTCTTCTATCATCATCATTGTCATCATCATCATCATTATTATCATATAATTATTATTATTCAATTTGGGGGGTATTTATGGATCATTATTTTCATATGAACTTATGTGTTGGATATCATGAAAAGACATTTCAGGATTTCATTAGCATTACATTAAATTAATGGACTCATTTGAGGAAATTATAGAGTCTTCTATCCATGAACATGTTGTACCACTCAACTTATTTCAATTGTTTTTATATCTTTTAATAAAGTTTTATTTTTTCTCCATAAGTTTTGCAAAACTATTATTAAATTTATTTTACAGTTTCTCTGCCATGTTAACAAAATATAACATGTACAACTTATTCTATTGTATATAAGCATGTAATTTAATTTTGTATCTTGGTCTTACAATGAGCCTTCGTATTAATCTCCTATAGGTTCTAATAGTTGATCTATAGGGTTTTTATTTTTTTAGTTTCAGTGTAGACAATTACCTCAAAAAAGATACTTTTGTTTATGCCCTTCACATTTTCATAGCTTTTACTCACTGTTCTTATCATCTTGTCTAAGACTGTCAGTGCAGTGATAGCAGCATTCCCTGGTCCCTGCTTTGTGTTCTTCACTTTAAAAAAATGTTTCTAAGATTTTCTTATTGAAAGAAAAAAGATGTTTCCTATAGATTTCTGGCAAATTCCCTTTATCAGATTAAGGATGATCATTTCTGTTCTTACTTTGCTAAGAGGTTTTATCAAACAGATGTTGAATTATCTTTTCATAAAATTGTAAGATTTTTCCCTTTATAATGTCAAATAAAATATATATATTTATGGAATAACTCTGCTTGGTCTAATATGTATTCTGTTTTGTTATTAATATTCTAGAATATTTACATATATATTTATAAATGATAGGTTGATAATTTTACTTCTCATTTGTCTTGTCTCATTTAATATCTGTATTATACAATCGCACAAATGTTTAGGAACTTTTTCTTCTTTTCTTAGATTTTGTAAGAGTTTTTGTAGCATAGACATTTTCCATTTTACAGAGTGTTAGGAATTTGTACATAAAATTATTTGGTTCTGTCTATGGCCATACTACCCTGAACAATCCCAATCTTGTCTAATCTCAGAAGCTAAGCAGGGTCACGCCTGGTTGGTACTTGGATGGGAGACCACCTAGGAAGGTGCTGTAGGTGTATTTATTAAATAAAAAATAAGGAGTTGTAAACTGACAAGGTCCTTGCAATTTGTGAGGTCAACCAAGGGTTGCCTCACCTAAAAAAATACCAAAAAATCAAACACAAAAAACTATTTAGTTCTGGCATTTTCTGTATGTGGGGGACACGTTTTCATTCAATGTATATTTTCATTTCATTTCACTTAATATTTTCAAACAAATATTAAAATGGCTATAAGTATATTCATATTTTTAACATGTTTTCTTCTCAATTTATTTGCATTTAGTTGTTCATTCTATTCTTATGCTTAAAAATCATTGCCATTTAATCTGTCATTTTGTCTCTTTTTCTACTTCCAATGTTACTTATTTATGTCTCCTTTTTTTCTTTCCTCAGTTTAGTTAGAAGTAAACTAATTTATTAGAATTTTCAAAGAACCAGTTTTGGAGTTTGTGGCTATTC